CATATAAAATAATTAATTATAAAAAAGAAATTAAAATTATGAATATTTTTTAAAATAAAAATAATATAATAATGAAAAACAAAATATATTCTACTTATATTGTCAAGTGTTATTATTGTAAAAAGTTTATCGATCAGATAATTAAAATGGCATATTTAGTTTAATATAAATTGACGATGCAATTTATCAGAAATTATTGAATTGAAGAGATAAAAACAATAATATGTTTGATATATCAATTCACTGTCATCATTAATAAATTATTTGTGTTAATTATAATAAAATAAATGACAGTTACCGATCAACGAATAGGCCTGGCATATTTTTAACATAAAAAAAAAAAAAAATGTTATTACGAAAACAGGTTAATAGCAGGATTATTTTTTAAACATATTTTAAGATTATAATGTTGTATTAAAAGCTGGTAAATTATGGAAAGGAGAGAAAATTAGAAAAAAAATTACAGTGTGTAAGCATTAAAATATCCCAAGTTACGATAAAAATAACATCTTTTTCGATGACAAGATTTTAGCAAACACGTGTAATGAGCCTTAGACTTTGGTCAAAGTGTAAAATGTTATTTGGAATATAACGTATTGCTGTGTAATTGATGTGAAGCGTGGTTAATTGGATTTTTATCTAAAATGATTTTATATAACGATTTACCTGTGGAGAATTCATGTAAAGACGATAGTACGGCATTTATATTAGTGTATGTTTTTAATACGTAGTAAGCGGTGAAATAAATGACGTTTGTGATAAGAATAGACAAAACGGATTGATTAAAGAGAATTTTAATAGAGAATTTATATATTTCCTCATGAACTTGTATATTTCCTCACGGAAAGAGGGATGGGTAGCAGTCACGTGATCGCGCGCGCACGTGGATGAGCGCGAGATCGAGCGAACGAGAGGCGTTCAGACGACCTTTGTCCCTTCAACCCGACGCTGTCACCTCACGTGAACGATTTTTTTTTCTTTTTTCCCTTTTTTTAACGTCCGTTATTGTTGTTTATTTTTTCTCGTTGGTTATTTATAAAGATGACAAAACTTTACATTGGTAATTTGCCGGATGTTAACGAAGTCACTGTCCGAGATTTGTTCCACGAGCACGCGGGAGTTGTGCCCGAGACTGTTCTCGTGAAGAAAGGCGGCTACGCTTTTGTCGAGTGTCCCGACCAAGAATCGGCCGAGAAAGCAATCGAAGTGTTGAATGGTAAGTCTATCTTATACTATCGTTACCTTTTCTATCTACAACTTTATCAATTTAAACCCTTAAACGTTTTAATAAATACGAATATAAATGCCAGTCTATAGCTCGTACTCCGTTTCGTTGTCGGCGACCGGTCGGCCCAAAATGGCGGACGACACCTTTTTTGAAAGAACAATCCGTTTGGCGAACGGCCGGGTCGTTTCGTACCAAGGTTCTTACCCTATTCTTCGGTCATTGATGTTGTTTTCACTCGCAGTTATGTATTAATATCATTCGTAAACTTTTTCTCCTTTTACTTATCGACAAATAGTTTGAGTGTGTTGTGTGATTTGTTATATTTCTTGTCTCATTTACGTTTACGTGTTGAAGTCTGTAAAATCATCATAACGGAATTTTATTAAATTAAAACATTATTGACCGGCTCATTATTATTATTATTTCTTCTCTTTTACGTAATGCGTTGTATTTATAAGTATTTAAAACTCACACGCTTGCTTCCTAACCATTATGAACCTATTGTTAAAAGAATAATAGATGTTAAGTATTTATTTAGTGGTTATACTGATAATGGGAGGGGGAGGGGCTAAAAGCATATTGGGCAAAATTTACTTTCTACCTTCAAAATATACTAATTTTTCACTTAATTCTTAATTCCCTGACTAATTATTCTAAAACTGAGGGACATTAAAACTTTTTATGAACTTGTAATTAGTACCAAATATTGATATGCAATAAAAAAAATAAACAGATTTTAAATATTAAAATATTTATTTATAAATATGTATGCTTTTAAAAATATGTAACTGTCAAATTTGAAAGAATGTATTTTATATTCGGCAATGAATATATGTTAAAATTTTGAGGTATTAAACCTTATTTGAAAACAAACGTGTAAATTAAAACTTTAACCGATATTGTAAAGTATGACAACATTAACAAAAAAAAAAAGCTTGAAAATTTGCCAACTTTTTGAACTCTCATGAGTAAGGTTTATAACTTCTAGTTTTATAAATTCATTGTGTGATTGAAACAAACTGAACATTTGTATAATTTAAGTATTTTCTAATTAGAATTGGAAAAAAATATATATANTTTTTTTTTTTTCCAATTCTAATTAGAAAATACTTAAATTATACAAATGTTCAGTTTGTTTCAATCACACAATGAATTTATAAAACTAGAAGTTATGTTTTTATACTAAACTAAAAGATTAAAATGTGTGCTATAATAGATTTTTCTAATATATAATTTAATAAAATTCATAAATCAAAAGGCATTAATATTTAATATGGATTACAAGCAACAGATTGCTTTATAGAAATACTTTAAATTTTTTTTCTGATAATAGATAAGAATTCAGAATGTCATTTTAGAAAAAGCCTTAAAATTGTAAAAATATTAAAATTAAGACTTGAATGTTAAAGAAAGATGATTATAAAGAAATTTAATAAAATACATGTATATAACAAGAGTTTTTTTTTAAAGAACCATTATATTCATGTAGTGGTAGTTAGGTGCATTGTTAAAAGTTTTAATTTGTTTTTAATAGAAGTTTTTTATTCAGTGATTGATATGATATAAAGTGTTAAATGTAAGATTTTGTGTGTGTGTGTTTGTATATATATAAAACGTAATATGAAGATTCTATGTATCCTTAATTTTTGAAACCATTGTCAGATTTTTGATTCTTAACAAAGCTTCTAAATCTTGTTGAATATGTAATTTGAAAAACTTCATACTACTATATTTACTTCAGATGTTTTAACATCTGAAAAATGCAACAAGAAATTGAAAATGGTTTTAAGGCTTTTTTTAACCAAAATTGTATATTGAAATTTCCATATTGTAGACTTGTAACATCTTAAATTTTAAAATATAAAGCTAATTTTAAGAAACTGTAAATTTTGTAATTTGAGAATTTTATATGAAAATTTAATTTTAAAAATTTTTAAATGAGCGATATTTAAAATTTCTATTATAAATTTACATCTATTGCAGTTTTAATTATAATGTTATACTGTAGATAAATTTTTATGAAACTTTGAGTAAGTAGCTGTCAATCATTTAATATTACATTTAAGTCTAGCTGATTTATTAATAAAAACTGTAATTTGGTTATATTTAATGAAATAAATTAGTATTACTATAACTTTAATTAGTGTTCCAATTGATATAAAAATTTGTGGAAATTTTAAAATTTTAATTTAAATCATTAACAAAATATTTAAGAATAACAATTTCAAATTATTCTTGAAGTTCTGTTGTAGGCACTGTTTTAAAAAAATTATTTAGTATTTTTAAATACATTAACAACTTAATTTAAAATAACTTTAATTGTTAATTTAATAATTAAATTTTTATAGTTTTTTTTTTTACAAAATATTAGTTATTGGTAAAAATATTGAATTTGTCCTACACCTAAATTATTTTGATGTTAATAGTTAGTGCAAATATATAATTATTATATTTTAATTTTAATCATACCCATACCCTATTATCTGAACTCATTCCAAATTCCTACTGCAATGAATGATATTGTGATATTTACATATATAATAATACCAGTATTATAAATTTCTTTGAAGTGTATTTATGAAAAATTTAAGTGATACTAGTAAATATTAAGGTGGGAAGTAGAGTGAAACTGTTCCAGTACCTGTTTTCATTTGTTTTGGTTGTATAGAATATGTTGTGCAACAAACTGAACCTGTGCAGTTTATTGAATTCTATTGCAAAATTTCCATGCAATTTTATAAGCTATAGGTTATTACAGTAAGCTCACTACCTCATTTTATTTTCATTGTTCTGTGTTTATAGTACAGTAATATTTTAATATAAAATATATATCACCATAACATTTTTATGGTGTCTATTGTATAAATGCAATTCATATATAATTTTTATAAGAGATACTACACAAACTTATTACATTACTGCTTAAAAACATCCTTTAATGACCTCATTACATGTTTACAAACTCCAATTACCTTACTAATAATGTTTATCATCACTCTGAAAATATGAATTGATAAGTCAGTAGGTTTTGCAATGTCTTAGTTTTATTTGAGGAAATTAGTTGGGTGTTACTTAGACCAGACACTTTTTCATGAGACATAATGGTAAACACTTTTCAAAATCTGAATTCCTAATAATTGAATCTTTCTTAGAAGTACATACATTAGATTCAGATAACATGATATGGCTATATTTCAGTTAAAAATATTGTAAAATTTAAATATTAATTCAAAGTTTATTAAGTATTTAATCAGTTTTAAATATTTTCTTAGAATTTGAATCTATGATAAATGTATTTACTGTATTAAAAATTTATTGATCATTTAGTAGTTTTTTAACTTTGATCAGATGGACTGAATTTCATGTAATATGTAAATATTGTGATCTATGAATATTTATAATTTCATATTTAAATTCTTAAAATGCTTCTTTTTATTTTTATCTCCATATATTGAGAATAATCAAATACTTTTTAAAATATTAGCAGAGAATGTTGTGTAAGAAAATTTAAAAGTATTAAGTTTTTAAAATTTAAATGCTTTTGTCTTGTCTATATATATATATTATATATTTTTTTTTTTATTTAACAATAATTGATTTAATATGTCAAACATCTGTTTTATCTTTCAAAAATATAGATTTTTCTTTAAGTTGTCAAATTTTATAAGTTTATTATATTTCCAAACATTGTAATATTGTCTAAATAAATCAGTACATTAAATAATGTACTGATTTATAATTATTTAATGTATAAGTGAAAATACATTTAATTTTAAAAAATTGCTGCTTTATATTTGTTTTTACCTGGAGATGATTATAATCATCATCATCATTGAAAGTATTTGTAATTACATTTGTTTTTAAACTCATCATTGTTATTTTAATCTGTTTTTAACACCAAAAAGATGAGTTTTTAAATAGTTAATAGAAACTTAATAGAAACTTTTTTTATTTCTATTAACTATTTATTCAGTTTTTGTTCTCAGAATGAATGTAAAGTTTAATAAAACAGTATAGGCCTAATATTTAAAATTTTTGTAAATACCTTTTTCAAAAACATCTTATAAAAATGAGATGATTTTTACAATGTTGGATTAAAAATAAAATTGTAATGTTATAAATTAGGATGTAAAATGATATCTATATCAATTTGTGGTTTTAATGCTTTGGCAATATTAAATAAACTATTTGCAATGTTTGTCAGGAAGGCAAGCTGGATGATTTATTAGGTGGTTGTAAAATTAAGAAAGATTCCCAAATGTGTATAGTTTTTAGGTCAGAAACAATTACTAAAATAGATGCTATTTCAAGATGGTATATAGTCTTCTATAGCTAGTTCCAATTTTTGTGTGGAAATTGAACATTGGTGTTCTAGGATGTGAGTTGTAAGGTGGTTGTAGAGCCATTGAAAATCTTATGTGGTTTGGGGGCCTCTTTGTACCCCACACCTCTTTGGTTACTCCCTTTTTTTAACAAGTGAAATACATAAAATGTTTTTCATTAATAAAAAGCAGACTTAGAATTTTTTTATTACTAAAAAAAACAACATTAATTTTATAGGGCTAGGAACTGCTTTGGACAGAGAAAAATCCTCAACCCTAAGTAGTTGTACAGTGCCTATGTAGTGTAATGGAGTGCTGATAGGTCATTGGGATAGAGTAGATTTCCAAGCATTTCCATTTCTTAGAGAGTACAGTATCTTACTAAGTCTTAGGCATTATTTATGGTTTGATGGGTAAGATGTATCCATATTTTTTTTTTTAAATAAGGTTGAACTTCAAGAAGTTACACCAAAATATGATGTTGGATTTGTAAAATATTAAGTTCTGGTTTTACAAAAAGTTTGGACACTGGAAATAAAGACTATTTTATTCTGTGACTATACATTCAACTCACTCTTAACAAAATTGGACAGAAGTTCAATTTGTAATAATTTAAGTGTTGTTAGAATGTATGCTTTTTGGGTATGTATGCTAATACCACATTCT